AATACACATTGATGTGGAAGGTGAATTAAGAAATCCTAATTCCTTAGTAATGGGTGGTCTAGAAATTTGAAATTTGCTTCCCAAAGCAAATGTTGTTGTGTTCTATTAAGATAAATTTCATCCTCCAAATTGAAAAGGAAAAAACGTGACTAGTTATAGTAATTGCATCCATGAGTTCATAAACCTTCAAAAGTGAGAAATATAAGAAAATGGAGAAAGAATAACTTCAACTTCCTCAAAACGAATTCGAAGAAGCAACCACCCCTTCACATCCATTAATCTCCTTGTTACATTGATTCAAGAGATTTAAAACTATTTTGCATTTAAAGGGAAACTAAATGCCAACGAGGATTCATCATAAATATCATTACAAATAATAACAAACAAATGTAGAAAAAAGAAATAAAACTAAATCTATCATTTACAAAGAAATATATTAACATACAATTAAATTCAGTTTCTATCGATACATATTTCATATCAATAACATGACAAAAAAGATAATGGAAATGCGTACCTCTTTCTACCGGAAAAGTGATGAACACGTCCTGATGGAGAAAACATTATAACGGCAATATCAATGTCGCATAGGATCGATAGTTCATAGGCTTTCTTGATGAGACCATTTCTACGCTTTGAGAATGTAACTTGTCGATTCGCGGGGTTCTCTATTCTCTTTATCTCAAGTTTAACACGACCCATGTTGATATAAATGATTTATTATAATTATTGTCTATCGAGTGTAGAGTATGTTGTTGTATGCAAAATAAAGGAAATGAAGAATCTGAAGGAGGAAATCTAAATTGCCCTCTCTTAATTTTTTTTTTGAATCGGAAAAGGAGAAAATTATAATATATGAGAACATGCACGACGAAGCTTAAAAGAAGGAGGTGTTGGATAGGAGAGAGAGAGAAGGGAATGGTTATAAACGGGAGAGAGGAGAAAAGGAAGGGAGGCGGAGAGATCGATCGATGAGTTTATAAGGAAAGGGTCGTAACTCATTTCATTCTTTATGAATTTATAGAAGCAAAACCAAATCATTACTTTGCAACATACTTTATTGTATGATTTGGAATTATTATGTATTTATCGTCTCAGCTAACTTTTACGTGTGACGTAGGTCTCGGCCAATTTCCACTTAATTAAGTTTTTTTTTTCTAACTTCTTTTTGTAAATTAAAAAACTCAGTTGTACGTGGGATGAAATTGGTTAGAATCATAAGTACGAGGTTATATTGAATCACGTTCGTAATAATTTCTCGTTCTGATAATGTGTTAAAAGTAAGGGTGATACATTCTCAATATAAAAAGTTTATTGACTAATAAAAATTACAATTTACATGATCTTTGAAGTAATTATTAATTTATTATTTATGTAAATAATAATTAGAGTGCAAAGTTGTTTTACATTCTCAGTACCACCATTAAAACTTAAAAGTAATGTTCTATCTCCTCTACAAATGTATGATATAAATGTACACCATTTAGAATTAACAAAAATGAAATAAGTAATAAAAGCAAAATATTTTTTATAGATTTGTAAATACTATGGAAATTTCACGATGAAAATGAAATAAGTAATAAAAGAAAAGTAGCCATAAACGTTAATTAAACAATCATTATCACATATATGAATCAAATATATTAAGTAAGGCTGACCCCCTCAAAAAAAAAAAAAGTAAGGCTGATAATAAAGACAAATTTGTAGTAAGGTAGAAAAAAACTATACAATAAGAAAATATCCTTCTATATCTATAAATAATTAGATTGTTAATTAAACGTCGTAACATTAACAACAATGTATGTAAATCGTTAGTTTGTTAATTAGGCTTCGTAACATTAACAACAATTCTACATGCTTAAAACAAAAAAGTGAAATATTGTTCAAGTTCATCACTAATATCATAAAAATGATTATCAATGTGTGTGCAAATTATAAAGTGGAACTAATGATAAAAAAAAAAGTTAATTAACATTATTAAAATATAATTTGGCTTTTATATTTTAAAATAGATCATTAAATTAATATATAAAAATATAATGTTAATTATGCAAGTTTTAAAATAATAAAAAAAATTAAGTAAATTTCATCAATTAAATTAAACTTCATATTCATATTTCTTTAAAAAAAATAATGGACGAAGTGTGTTGATAAACTAATTTGGTCTTTCACATAGTAAAACACTCATTCAAATACTATGAATCTAATTTTTATTTAAAAATTAAAACTATTTGTTTGTTTTCTAAATTGTTTCAAACAAGTAACTAATGTTATTATTGCATTCATTTTTTTATTTTAATAGAAATAATGTGTTAACTTTTAACAATTAATATTTTTAAGAAAAATAGTATAAAGCGCCATTGAAATTCATATTGTACTAAATTTAGACTATTTTATTTTCAGTGAATTTAATTAGTTTTAATTCTTAATTTTAGTTATTTTTTGAAAAGCTTTTTATTTTGAGATTATTGTCTTATGTAAAGCATATTTGAAAATATAGATCTTGAAATTGGAAAATCTTGGTGGCTTTAGAAAGTTAAGAAAAATCTATATAAAACTACTTCTCACAAGTTGAAGTCACTTCAAACTTTGCCCGATTCAAAAATTGTGAATGAAATCATTGTCTCTATTCTTGGGTTGAAGCTCCCCTAAGGATTCCAAATTAGGAATAGTTTAGATTGTTAATTAAACTATTAGTGAATTTTTAATTGTTTTTTTATTTAGATCACAAATTTAAGTGTCTATAAATAATTTATTGATGACTTGAGTAATACTTTTATTCAATGTTATTAGAACCAGCTCAATGATCGACTAGATCAAGACATTGGGTTAACAGATCAATGATTAAACCGTGAGTCATTAACTAAACAACATAAACCTATACATTATTAAATATATATTTTTATAATATAAAAATTACTTTTTGTCATGCATGTATTGAGCTTAGTCAGATTAGTGGTTTATACTTTCACAAGTAATTTAGAGAATTTGGATTCTTCTCCATTTGGGTCTAAATTTTTGTTAATTTTTTTTCTGAATCATTTAATAAAACCTATAAACATGAGCATGAGATGCAGTGCAATCAAAGCTAGCATGAAATAGAGTTGCCAAATCAATGGGAGTAGGGAAGAAAAAAATTATTAATAAGTGTATGACCTAGCTTGGCCTGAGTCACCTATTTTCATCAAACTCACTCGAGTCAAACCAATTCTCACCAATTTGGAAGCATATTTGATCTAACAAGTGGATCAAATTGATTAGGTGTTTAGTTCCTTGGTCAACTAGTTTGAGCCAAATTTGATGACACTACTTTTATTCCTTATTTTTTTAGAATTGAGTGTAGCTTGTCTTGCTAGTTTATCTAAATTTTCTCTCTCTCATGAATTCTCTATCTCATACATTTTCTTTGTTCTAAATGAATTAAATATTATATATTGGTGAAGATAAAAAGACTAGATTCGTTTATCAATTCCAAAATTTTAAGAAATGTGGTTAGAATTCAAATTATAATTTTATTGTCCTTGTGATTTCTTCATCAATCCCTCTTCATTTTTCTAAATATGAATTTTGTAGTTCATGACTTCACTTTTCTATATCTGAATTTTGTAATTTGTGATTATGGTTGCATTTTTAGTTCTGAATGGGAATTAGATTATGATTGATTAATATGAGCTAATCCAGGTCAAGTAATTGATTAATTACCTATATCAATTGTTAATTGTTCCTGGATTTATGAAAATTAAAGATTGCAATTGTGACTTTTTGCTTGTGTAATTCCAATTTTGATTGTAGTTGGATTGATTTGTTTTCTATCCGTGTTGATATGTGATTAAATGAATCATTTCAAATTTATTTGATAATTGTGATAATTTAACAAGAACTGGATATTTTCTTGATTTGATTATCTTAATTGTTCATTGTTTCAATTGTTAATTTCATATATTTGAATTAAAATCTCCTTACTTTGAGCGATAATATTAAATCCAATTGTTTTGTATTTTTGCGAAGTATAACTTAAACTTGTCCTTACGCTACAAATTTAAGAGGAATCTTTTTTTTTTTTGTGTCTTCCACGTTTTATGGGCCTTAAATGAAACAATAAATTAGACTTCTTATGTATGAGTACTAAAATACTAATATATATTTGAAATATAATTAACATATAATTATAAATAAAAATAAAAAAAAAAAATTGTTCATTACCAAGAAATATTTTTCGTCGAACATAAAAACAATCTCCCTCAAAATTTTAATGAAAAAATATAAAGTTAGGCACATCAGTTAAGTGTTAAGTATATAAAGTAAAAATATAAAATTTTAATCTTTCAAGAATTTGATCCAAGTATCAAATCATAAAATTATAACCATTTGAATTGATGATTGGATAAAAGGGATATAATAAATTGAATGATCCAATATAAATATATATATATATATATATAT